TTAACTGTTTTGATCACTTGATCAGTTTTTCCGATTTTATTTGCGTGTGACTTTCATAAATCATTTCCGATTTATATATCAGTTTCCCGTGATTTATAATTTACTATCTTACACTGTAAGTAACTAATAAACCAAGTGTGATTGACCCCCAGCCATTCTAATGGTTAATGGTCTGGCCAATCTTTAATTATTAGTTGGGAACCCTTTTAATTATTCAGATACATCTCAAGGGAACGCCTTGGGGATATAATTATTTAAATAGAACCTAGTGACTGTAAGTCAACAAGTAGGCTGTGTATCATATATATAAATAAAGGAAACTTGACTGTAAGTTAGCGAGTAGGCTGTGTGTCAAACATATAGAATCAACCATAAGTCAGTGAGTAGGTTGTATGTTGAGCATTAATGACCTATTAATTAGAAAACATGGATTGCACACTTGCAATAGCTTCCAAAAAAGGATGTGTAATATCTTTCCAATAGAATACATCTGAGAGAAAAACCAGCAGTGCTTTATTATAATTGCACCTTTTCCAATCAATTCCAACCCTATAAAAAATTTTTTTACGGAAAGTCCTACAAAATGTAAGGAACTGCGGGATGTGTAAGGAAAGTCCTACAAAATGCAAGGAAATTTGCATTTTTCCGTACATGAAAAAAATTATAGAATGTAAGGAAAAATGCAAATTTCCTTGCATTTTGTAGGACTTTCCTTACACATCCCGCAGTTCCTTACATTTTGTAGGACTTTCCGTAAAAAAATTTTTTATAGGGCAAGGAAAGGTCCAAATTCTGAAAATTGTTTTTAAATATTGGTCAAGGGGATCTGACCAAAATAGACATCAAGAACTATAGGAGCTATATTATCCAAAAGATTAATTGCCATTTGATATTCAATATCCTTGTGGATGTCATCAAATTTATCCATCTGAATTTTTTCCACTCACAATTAATTAATTCAAACAATAAATCCACATGCCATGGTTTTGGTTTTTTGGCCAGAACTTTTTTATCACCAAAATCAAAATGGAAGAATTTTTAAAAAGAAATTATTCACTTGTTTTGACTGTTTAATGACATATGAAGTGGCCCAATAATAGGAAAAAAACTACCAATTTCTTTAGGGATAGATGGATGATTTTTGAATAAATATGTTAATGCTTTTCTAATGAATAACAGTTCAGGCCAATCTGCCAGTGCAATAACATTTTTTAGATGGCCAACATCATTGTCAATCCTTCTATATCATCAGGAAATTTTTCCCACTGTAATACATATCTCACAGTACCTTTTCAGTATGTCACATATTCCGTAATTTAAATATGGAACCTTTTCAGTACCTTACAAATTCTGTATTGTTTCCATACTGTTATGTGTCCCATCTATCCATTGTAATTGTGACTATACCAAGAAATCAGTTATATTGAGAAGAATTTTATTATTGTGAGATTGTAAACCGTGGACCAACCAATTGACCGTTAATATTGACCAATTAGAACGAACTTACTACGGAAGT